AGACCAAGACAGCAATTGGATCTGTTATTACAATATGTGTTGTAATAACAGCCTGATATCGTGGGATAGCAGAATAAAAATAAATAATTCCATTGCAATTACTATCTTATACTGTAATATTCATCTCTGTGGCCTAAGATATCAGTTGGTATGCTGAGTTGAAGTGGCTCTATCCAGTCTTCCAACGGCAATACTTCCTAGGTGTATTCCTTTTTCGAACCTTTTCAACCAAAAAACCCTCTTACATTTTCGATTTGTTCCTCTGTCCATTCGTTCAACACGAGATCCAGCCCCCAAACCTGTTTATTCCTTCTCATAGTACTGTTTCCTTTAAAAAATCCTTTGTCATTCGTGCTATCTTTTTTTGGAATTCTCTACCAACCTCCATACGTAAATCATCATACTTGACCTCATTTAAACGTAATTTACTTATCCATCTCCTCAGTAATCAATCTTCGGAATATGTGTAAAATAATGTTCACGTTTTCAGATCTGTTAATCGCTTTAATGTTATCTGACGGATAATTATATATCACCCACATTGTTTATGTGTACAAATATGTGAATTACCATATTTGAATTTATCTATGATTTCAAATATCTAACAGTACCTTTTCTTTATTGTAACCTTAGATCTAGATAATCATGTAATCTAATTTATTTCCAATGCCAGGCAATTGTCATTAAATTGTACATTGTATTTATTCTAAGGGGACTTAGTCCCAGAATACAATTTATTTTTCTTCTTGTTGAGATATATTGGTAAGCTGGAGAGAGCGTAAATGCAAATTTTTATAAACGTTTACTTTAGCAAAATAAAAATTGCCCGTTTCGGTCGATCAGATTGGAGTTCAGTTATGATATTAAAATTGATACTGTCTTGGGTGTTGACAATTTTGAAAATGGTAAGTGATAGATTCCCTAAAATCTGTTTTGTTGAAAAAAAAGTTGAAAAAAATATATATCAGTGGCAAAGGGGATCATAAATTTAATTGGTTTAATCAGTTAGTTTAATCAGTTGTGCTCTGTAAATAAACAATCCATTCTGAAATTTGAAGATGCAGGTACATTCTAGCTAGAAATGAATGAAACGATAAGCTTGTTTAAAAGTCACGTAGAGGAATTTGAGAAACTGATCTCCCCTACTAGGTACAGCCCAATATATTCCAATATGTACGCAGTGAGTTTTCCAATAAGCATCAGCCTTAATCTTGCATTAAATGCTCAGTTTCCTGTGGCCAGAACATTAACACAGCTTAGGTTATCTGGTAATTATCATATGAAATTAACGTTCAATAATATATATTATCATTTGAAGCCGAAAGAAATTTACACTCCCTTCCTCCATCATTTCCTACTTTATTCCGTTAACATGAACAACTCAAATTATATGGAATAATTCAAAACTGACAAACGAAGTCTTTTTCTAGAACCTGTTTTATTACACCAGGGAATGTTGTAGATTGTTGACAGTTATTGTTAATGAATAATGACATTACCTATCTGTGAACAAAAAATTGTTTCCAAAACTAGTATGTTAAATTTTTTGTCCTGTATTCCTTATTTATAATCTCTGCATGACACATGTTTGTATGGAATTCATATCATGATTCATTGTATTATCTATTGTTTATTATCATTTATATACTATGCTTATATTTATATGTACTATTTATTACTACTCGTTATTTTATTACTTACTATGTTATATTATTATTGTAGTGTATATTGTATTATATGGGGTATTGTAATATAGGTCATTGTTTATAGTTAGAAATACTGGCAGAAGAGGATGTTGTCATTATAAAACAATGTATTACGCAATTACGTAACTTGTAAAATTTTTAATATTAACTTTTATGATCATTGTTCTATATTATGGCCAACTATATTTGTATGGGGCATTTCCCAAAAATAAATAAATAATATTCATTCATTCACCTTGGAACAAAAGGGGCTAATACCCAAATTTTAAAAATGCAAAATTAAATTATACAAATTTGATTTGAAGTATTAGTCAAAATGTGAATGTGTTTACTTGTTTTATCGTGTTTATTTTTAAGGTAATCAAGAGTTTCTTTTAGAAATAATTTGCCTCTAACCCATTGCATTATATCTGTTGCATTTGTGAAAAGTGCGTTTAGTGCAATTTTATGAATTTTGTTGGGTATCACTAGAAAGTTAATATTTCTTTCTTTCTATGTTATGTGGCTATTATTATTGACAGAGATGAACATTCCTTTGTGAATCATGGGGAAAACTCGCAAATTTCAAGCGTTTTTCCGTAAATATGATTTTTACACTTAACACACTTTGCTCTGGTGCCACAGATATTATTACTGATTACTTTTATTTTATGTTAATATTTTTTTAAATAAAATTTTGTAAGTATAAAATTATTCATCCACACATTTTGGACATTTTTTTTTCAGTTATATGAACTATAACTATAGTTATAATTCTAAAAATATTGCCTGCATTTTTGAGTTAAAACGCTGTGTGGCTTAGAATTATTCCAATTATAACCTAATGTTTATATTCTGTCTCTTGGTTAGTTTCTTACTAATTTATATTGTTTTAGTTTGCACTTATTATTACTAATCCTCAAAAATCGACTGTTTATTTTCATTTATTATGGTTTCCGTGAGTACTAAATTTGTTTTCATCCATTTAAGAATAAATTTTGCTTATTTTAATACATTATTATTTGTAATAATATTTATTGTTTTATATTCTAAATATTCATATTTATTAATCTGAATATGTGTAATACTTTCAAGTGTATCTTAATTAATAAAACATCCACTTGATGAGTATTGCATATTTAGTGTTGGTAAATCTTTTATTTCAATTAGTATTGAGATCAATCGGTTATATCAGTCTTATATTTAATGAAGCATTTTGATTCATTAATGTGGAATTATTATGGCTATAATTTATTACTATGAAGACAATTTTGAGGTCAATTTAGTAAATCTATGAAAAAGAAATTGATGAGGTAATAAGAGCTTACAATTACAATGTTGAACTCATCGGTCACGTTTCCTCATTAATGATAAATTAATAAATAATATTATAAATTTTCAATATAGTAATCTGCCTTACCTCTTTTCTTTTTTAAATTACGTTGAGCTGTTTGGTTTACTATCTATCTCTTATTACTATATAGTTCGTCCATATTATATGTTGGAGTGGGATCTTTTCTTTGATTTTTTTTTTTATAACCAATGTTACTTTTAGTATCCCAGATTTGGTTTGGTTGTCAAGAAAGGAGCATGTACATAAACTGAATCATGAATGACTCCCTAGGAAGATATGGGAGGGACGCCTGGGTGATAAAACAGGAAGAGGTAGAGCCAGGAGTTGAAACAGTTATTATTTTTTTTTTTTATGAATCTTGACCTCTTTAAAAAAAGCTTTTATTAATAACAGGTTAAAGATAAAAGTTTTAAGAAAACTGTTAAATAAATGTTCTAGCTTAAAAAGTTTGTTAAACTTTTACTTCTAAAATTAACGTTATAAGTAAAAAAAAAAAATTATATGTTCATAATTATTACATTACTCGTTAGTATTTCAATGTTAACTTAGAGAACATTGTACATTTCGAAGTTTGTTAATCAGAATTGTTTTATTGGAAAAGTAAAAGCTTTAATGTTTGTGAATTAACATTATGCTTACTATCTTGTTCCATACCTTGTAAACATATACAGATTAATTCTCCTGCTTATGTATTAAATGCATCGAAAAATTATTATATAGCTATATACCTATACTGATGGTTATATTTTTTGTTAATAAAACTTTTAAAGCATATTATTATTATTTATTATTATTATTAAAACCTATTCAAGTAAATGGTTAATAAAAACTTTTATTAATGAGGTTTTAAAATAAAAGTTCAACAAAAACTGTTATACATCTACATATATTGATAAAAGTTAATCTATTACTGTTAATTATCAAAGTTAATGGTTTCATTCGACCCCTGGGTAGAACACTGCTGCAGTGGTTGGAAGACATAGAGTCTTACCTACGGCTTCTGGGATTGACAGAATTTAAACATCCATGCCGAAAAGATTACCCGTATATATTGTAGATATTTGTAAGAACTATATTATCTTGGGCAAATACTTACTGTGTATGCAGAAAAAAAAACAGAAGTGGAAACATGTTGAAATGATTTTTTTTCCAGTCCTGTCTCATGTTTAATATGACTGTTACATTTTATATATATATATATATATATATATATATATATATATATATATATATATATATATATATATTTAATTATTACACTATTGATCTATGTAATCAACATGAACAGTTTTTTAGGTGAAGGGAAGAATTTGGGCTTACATCAAGGTTCATTTAAAAACAAAGGTTGTTAGAAACATTGTATCTTTGACATTTTTTTTTTTTTTATCTTACCTCACTACTAAGTAATATTTTATTTTAACATAATATTAACAATATAACATAATAATATCATTATTTATTTTGTACAACAATAAATCTTAATATTAAAACTATTATAAACAAACTTGAGCAATATCAATATTTTTTTTATATTTTTTAATACTTTTTTTAATTTATCGAACAAAGAAATAGTTTAAAAATAAGTGCAAACAAATGGTAATAGTGATTTATTGCACATGATATGTTATTATAGTCTTTATTTATTTTTTTTTTTTTTTTGTAGGATTAAATTGTTCAATTCACACTAAAAAGTATACCTTAAAGTAATAATACTTTTTATTTCAATCCAATTTATCATCTTTATCTTTGCATTAAATAAATTGCTTTGGAAAAAATATTTTGGATTGATCTCATTAGAAGTATGTAGGTATGAGCTTGGTGAGCCTCAAAATATTTATACAATACCTTACATTAGAGCATTTATACATATATGTGTAATTATAAATATCTTTTATAAATAATAAAAACTTGACTAGTTTAGCTGTCATTCATTTCAACAAGGCACAATTTATCTGAAATAATTACTTCCTCCCACTCTTTCTTTTTGTTGACCTCTTCCGGTAATTTTTGTTGTCCTCTTTTATCATTTGTGCCCCTTTCTCTCCTATCATTATCGTGGGCGCGTTCGGATTCCCACTTACTATAGTTGGCATAATGGAAGCGTCTATCACTCTCAGCCCCTTGACTCCGTGTACTCGTAGCCTGGGATCGACTACTGCATCCGGATCTATTCCCATTTTGCAAGTGCAGGCAGGATGATAAATAGTGAATGTAAAATGGCGAATGGCACATTCCCAGTAGTCATCCGATCCGAACTCATATTTCCTACAGCCTGGCATCTTTGTCAGCAATGGCCGTGATCGAAACCTCTGGAATGCCGGAGTGTCGGAAAGATTCATTGCGATCCTTATCCCTTCGATCAAGGTGAGAATATCTTGCTTGTGTGTGAAGTAGTTTGGATCAATCAACGGTGCTACCATCGGATCCCGGTTCTTCAGTTTGACTCGTCCCGTACTTAATGGACGAAGCAATAATGGCAAGATTGTCCATGTTTCTGCAGACTCGAGAGGTTTGTACATCGTGTTATAAACTGCATCCCTTAAGTTCAGAATTTTACGGATCTGATCACCATCAGAGTTGACTGAACTAGGTGCAAAATGAAATTGGATGTCAGGCCACTCCCCCGAGGGTGGTGCGTACTTGGTGTTGACGAATGCTACTCCCTCTACACCTCCTAGAGAAGTCATGGGCCCTCTTTCGTGCATTATGTAATCTGCTGCTACTGAAAAAGACTGGTAACGTTTTTTCGTGAAGGTGACCGGTTCGTCGATCAGGAATGTAAGACCTCCTAAGCCCACGTGGTCCTGTAAATTGAAACCTACCTTTAGGTCTTTCAGAACAGGTATTCCTAGCTCTTCTAAATGCTCCTTGGGGCCAATACCTGATAACATAAGTAGCTGTGGCGAATTAATTGCTCCTGCTGAAAGTATCACTTCTCTCTTTGCCCTGATCCTCCTTCGGACACCGTCTCTAACGTATTCGACTCCTACCGCCCTTATGTCTCTCGGATCCATTATCACTCTTGTCGCATGGCTATACATTGATATATCCAAGTTCTTCCGCAGCCTAACTGGTCTGAGAAATGCTTTGGCCGTACTGCATCTAGAACCACGACGAATAGTCCCTTGTGCGATCATAAATCCTGTCTGAGACTCTGCATTGATATCTCTGTTGAGATAACCTAACTCTTCTCCACCCTTGACAAAAGCCAATGATAATGGAGTCCTGAATGGCGATTCTTGTACCGTAAGGTAACCACCCGTTGAATGATATGTGGAATTGGCTAAATAAGGATTCCTGTTGTCTTCAGATTTTTTGAAAAATGGTAAAATATTATTGTACGACCAGCCTTTGTTTCCTAGACTTTCCCAAAGGTCGTAATCGTTCCTATTACCGCGTACATAGATCATAGCATTTAGAACACTGGATCCTCCTAGGACCTTACCTCTTGGCCAGAAACAACGGTCCCCATTCATGGCGAGGCAGAATGCGGACTGTTGGGGCACTTCAGTATGGTACTGCCAGTCCATGTCTGTGAGCTGGAGATAGCCTGCTAGGGACGGTATGTCTGATATTTCAGACTCGTCTCCGCCAGCCTCCAGGAGCAGCACAGTCCAGCCCTGCTCCTCGCTGAGCCTGTTGGCAACCACCGCCCCTGCCGAGCCGCTTCCGACAACAATGAAGTCATACTCTTTTTGGGGCTGAAAAAAAAAAATGTTTGTAAGTAAAATTATGATTCTCTCATTAGCTTATATAGCGTAGTATCAATATATTGTCTAATACTTAAGGTTTATAAACTACAATTTTCCTATCATCTGATTTTTATTATCCTGGGACTCTTGTCCCTTTAGGAAAATTATAGATATAAAGAAAATGCCTTTGTGGCTATACATTAAATTAAATATTTACAATTCTCATTAAAAATAAAATATTTGAAAAAGAATAAAACAAAAATATACAGATATATATGATACAAACATGGGAAAATAAAATAACATAAGTAAACATAATCATTTTTGTGGAACTTAATCATATCTACTTTTCATGATGAATCGGGTTGGGAAAGAAGTAGGTGCTTAAAAAGGAGAGATTTAAATGAGGAAACTGATTGCGCATGTCAGATATCGGGAGGGATGGTATTCCAGATGGAGACGGTTTGAATTATAAACGATTTGTCACAGCAGTTCGTTAAAGAAGTGGATAGAGGTCGGAAGTACGGGATCTAGTGGGACGTGATTGAATATAGGAAGGTCGCTGAGTTCTGATGGCTTGGTATAGAAAGGTAGCAAGAAAGTGCAGACGGCCGTTAGATGGATAGAGCCACTTCAACTTGGTGTAATACTGGGTTATATGCGTATCTCTTGATATTCCGAAAACATAACGTATTGCGCTGTTCATTAGGCGTTTAAGTTTGGCTTCGAATTCTCCCGAGAGCCCGCCGTACACCAATATGGGTTTAATTTTCAGCATGTATATAATGTCTGAATGTGTTTTATATATTTCAATTTCATTTAGCTTCTCTCTATTTTTTTATTTTTTTTTTTTACCTATGTATGTTAATTTTCTTATTTTACATTCCACGACTCTTTTTCTTTTATCTCTATTTTAGTTATCATTTATATGTATATATTGTGTGAATGTTTAATGTAGCCCTAATATTAATGCCCTCCAATGCGGCAGAATGTATTAATTTTCAAATAAAAATAAAAATTCAGCAAATTTAGCCTTTTGCTGATTTTTTTTTTCTATTCAGTTAAATAGTTAATTATTCATAAAAAAACTTAAGAACTTCGGGCAACGTATATTACACCAGTTATAGACACTCAGGTTTTGGGGTTACCAGGTTTTTTTTTTTTTTATATATATAATTAAAAACCCCAAAATAAATTCTACACAGTTTTAAACTAAGAAATGGAAAATTGAAGATGAATAAATTACTCCAAAATTTCAAACTTCTCTCCTAAAAGAAAGTTTTAAGGAAACCTCATCCTCCTATGCTTTCTTACCGCAAATCCACTTGTATTTACAATATTTGTGTGATCTGTAAAGCTTATTATTTATGAATGAGTTGAAAACCGCCTGTTACTAGTAAATTTACATCAATACCTTTAGGAACTAAAATTAATTATTAAAATATAAATAGGAAAAATAATAATTTAATTGTTTTAATTATTATGCCCTAAAATGGAAATAGGGTAAAGTTTACACAGATCCGAAAATTAAATGACAGTTGGGGGACTTGACTTGTTTGAATTGCCGTTTCTCTTTTTTTGTCTAATTCATATATTTTATTATGAATTAAGATAGTATTGACATATCTCAAATTAAATTATGTTGTGTTACGTAATTTTGTGTTAGCCAACAAGTGTTGAGATACTCCATTTTACTCGTGCTGGGTTTAAATTTCAATTTAGAAAGCTCGGACGTTGATGTCACCTGATCTGATGATGTAACAACCTCCTTTCAACTGCCGAAAGTCCAATATCATCTCTACCCCAACTTTTTTTTCAATTATACTGTTATAGGATCAGTATTATTTGTTATGAGATCGACAGGTAAGATTCGCTGTGTGACTAAAATATAAAATTACATCTTGTATTGGAAACCGGTAGGGTAAAAATATTAATGTAATGAATATGTATTATTATACAGTCTCAACTGTCTCCCGCAGTGCTACATCCTACGCCCTGATGAAGACCTATAAAGTGGATCGAAACGTCGGCAAAAATTAAATAATACTATTTGTATAATTTAGTATTTATTTCACCGCACCCCCCCCCCCCCCCGATCAACTCCTTCCCATGTATTATTATAGTTTTGAATTAAATATTTTTAAGAACCCTTAATTTTCCTCTAGGTTATATTAGTGTCGAATACCTTAATTTAATGTTTTTTCGAGTGCCCGCTGAAGACTCGTTCTTGACCATTTAAATATATTTATAGGCACTCGCATATTTACTTAAATACGTAATTACATAAATAAATAAGAAAGAAATTTTCTTTTGTTCTCTTTTCATTTAACTGGTAATATATCTAATAAAATTATTGTAAAAATTCTTAGGATCATTTTAATAGAAAGGTATATCGTACCCCGGGAGTTTATGGGGGTTGTATATGTATTAAATACGGGAGTTATATATGGATTATATTTGTATGAGATATATATGATTATATGCTGGAGAGGTTGTTATTATTTAAGGCTTAGAGGCGTATAAACCCGAAGTACTCTACGCCTATCTAATCTTCATTTCAATAATATCAACAATAAATTTTTATTTATTTTTTTATTCATTGATATTTACAACTGTATTATAAAAAAAAAAAAAATACATCTAGTAAATGTCCACTCAGAAATATAATAATATGAAATCGCTTGTTAAAAAACTATCTACCGGTAGCACTCAAATAATAAATTTATTCATCAAGATCAAGAAGCCAACTTCTTTCCAGACGCCTCGGAGGGACTTTAAAACCCAGACGTTTAAACCGAGAGGATTCGGATGGTTCTGAAGTTTTTTATAAAAGGATAGGTATCTGGATTGGGCTAAATCGGAAACATATGGAACATTAAGGTGATTATGGATGATTTTATTTGTGACAAAGTAAGGAGCGTTGAGGCTTTAACGAAGGATTTTGGATTGTATGGGTTTGTTACGAGAGGAATTCGTTGGTTTAATGGAGCCCCAGAGCTTAATTGCCTCTGTCCAAATAGGCCTTATTGTAATCATGTATATGAATCTTTTGTAATTGATTGAAAGCTCAGAGCGTTTTCTAGTAACTGCTGGAGTAGTAGGTATAATTTATTTTTAAAAAAAAACCTCAAATTTAAATTTTGTTTTGCAAATCTTTAGCTTTGAGAAAAGTACCATTGATCTTATTTTAACCTCTTCATTATTTAAAAATATTGATAATTTTGGTACGATTCCTAACTTGTTTAGAATTAATACGTTATAAGATCATAGGATCGAATCCCGAAACTACTTCCCACTACGGCTGGTCCCCGCGTGAAGTTAGACCATTACTCTCTTAATTAGGGGAGGCCTACATGCTGTAAAATACTTGTAAGAATAGACTAGGAAAAAAAAAGATATATATATATATATATATATATATATATATATATATATATATAGGTAATAAGTACAACTCTTGAGAGGTTTCATAATTAAAGTTTAAAATAGAAACCTAAAATATCATTTATATCGCATAAAATATCTACCATCACAATATATTGAGAGGCACGCGGACAAATACCACAATATGAAATGAAATGAATAATAGTTTTATTTCATATATAAAAATACAAATACATGTATAATTATTTTCTTATTCCTACGGATCTTGAGATTTAGTCAATAAATAAATTATTGTACAATTTTTTTTTTTTTTTTTACTATAATGCATTAATATGAAAACAATGAAAAAAATATGTATTAAGATCCCTCGGAAAATATAAATAAATATTATTAGGAACAATTAATCTGGTCTTCATATTATTTTTATTATTCTTTGTTAGCTTGACGTTTCGGAATATCTTTGCCCATTTTCAAAAGCCGTTAATAATGAACATATGTGTTGTGATATGTTAATTATTTTATAGTGCATCATTCAGAGTGAGGGGAGCGGTCCAAACTCCAAGAATGGGTTGTCGGATCTTGCCTCTTCTACCATTCTTTTTCGATAGCTGTTGAACTCTCTTAATGATGTAAAACTGGCATCAACAGAGGATTGTGAAAATAATTTGGTTCAGATTTTCATCGATCATAACGGAACATATATCATTGGTTAGAGTTTGAAATTTATATAAATAAATTCGCTTTGAAAAAAAAAAAACTAAATTACTTTCTCCTCAACCCAGTATATTAAATTCTAATTTTTACCAAATAGAGATGAATAGGTGCCGGCATTTAGTAAATGGCGGTGCAAACAATTATCCGATGAATATGTGTTGAGATACAATCGACTGATTCATTAATGGAATTCTTCTCAATGAGGTGTTTATAAGAAATACGACACGAGCCTTGCCCTGTTATCAGTCTCGAAACCAATTACTACCGTCCTAATTTACGCTTAGAAAATGTCAACAAAACTACGACAATGGAGCCAAACGGTAGGGGCATCACGTATACCAGCCACCCACAGCCTCCTCAATGAACACCTTGTCTCTAGCACCCTTCACAATGACTCTTATTGTCTGCCAACTACGTGCAAGGTTACGCTTTGACAACCATATTTACTTTACCTTTCTTCTTCATTTGCCTATGAATAGCGTTTGTCAATAGGCAACTACCTGGTTAAGGGGGGAATGGTACCATTCAATCACTCCGTCTTGGAAACCTTTGTGTCCCTTCTAAACGTGGGTTAATCACCTAGGCCAGTTAAGCCAGTGGGTCCGTTAATCGTTGGCTGCTGAACGAAATTAAAATGTGAGGGAGCTGTTATGGATCTTATAATAAGGTTTACAACTCGATATATATATTTTTTTAATAACAAAAGATGATAAAATAAAAAGGACATTCTTTTCTCAGGTCTCTGCTATCTTTGTTTATAATATTACTAGCTGACCCGTGCGAATACTCCGCACAAACTTAATAATTGTGTCTGATTTTAATACATTAAGGGAACAGCACAACTTCCATTCAGTAATGTTTGATACTCATAAGTTAATTACATTTATTTTCTAAATTATCTGTTTATAAGT